GCGCATCGCTCGAGTGGGTGTAAACACCGCTCACTCTCATGTGTTTTTTTGCACAACCTGCCATTGCTTCTGCAAACCGCTTATCAGAGCTCCAGACCGACACGCTTGTTGACACGTCTCCAGCCTGGAGTTTTCTTCACTGGATCATTGGTCTGATTGGTTGAAGGACTATCCAATATAGGACTATACAGAGTCATTTGAACTACACCCGTTGATCACGCCTCATGTGCAGTAGAAAATACAGAGAAGACTCTCCAGATTAAAGCAACACTAAGTAAGATTTTTTTACCTTAAAATAATGTTTCCAAAATGGTTTCAGTGGTTCATTAAGTCGTAACAGGGTGAAAGGCACTTCTGGATGCTATATCTGCTATAACCACGCTGTGTAAGATTGCCAGATCGGGTCGCGTTTCTGTAGTTCTAATGAGACATAAGAAAACTACAAATTTGACTTGCTTTACGTCAAGCGTTACAATAGTCATTATTTTGTTTTTCTTCGTTTCTGATGTCGCAATACATCATACTTTCATGAAATCATGCAACATACTCTAGCTTGTCTGTGGACATTCATTCCAAAGCCGGCACTGGATAAACACGAGCGAGTGTGCGACAGTAGGCTGCGCTAGGCTAAATTATTTACGGCAGCGGTAATGGACAATTCCACTTCCAACCTGTAGGGCGACCGCAGAGGAAAAGTTACTTGGTGTTGCTTTAATCCTAAAAGACTGAGCTTTGACTACCAAACTGGTCCTCAACGCTGCTTTACGTGAACGCGAGTGCATTAGCATTAGTTTCTGAATCACTGGTGTTTGATTTAGGAGATGAGGACATGATGAGGCTCAAACCAGCTCGCAGTGCAAGTAGACTTTACTGAACATTATTTTATGTATCCACTATATTGATGATACCTTTTTGAAGGATATTGGTTTACTTATGACCTTTTTGTGCACTTGAGCTTAACTGAGACGTTTAAGAGGATGTTGTGTTGACCTTTATTTATTGCAATATTTAGATTTTAGAAAATAAACATGATTTCTCATCCTACAAATCAACTGTTTCTTATTTTCACTGGCATGTCTCTTAGGTGAAGGGCTAGTGCATCTTTGAGCCTACATTCAGTGTGAGTAAAATACTTTAAGGACTGTTAAAATCAGACTTTTACTCGAGTCGGATTGGAATTGGTGACTTGTGATTGTAATTTTCGCTGTACTTTTACTCAAGTATGGTTTTCAGGCACTCTTTACACCTCTGTGCATCAACCAATCATCTCTGGGTGAGGGTTTGTGTGTACCTGCGTACTCCTGAGGCATCATGGGCCGGTTCACGACTCTCTGAAACGCAGCGATCCAGTCCTTCTGCTCCGCCTCGGTTTCACAGGCGAACAGGAACTTTCTTTCCGGGGTTTCGATGGTGATCCCGAACTTCCAGTGTTGTCCTTGAGTCGCGGGCGGAAGACCGGACAACACCGTATAACTGTTCTCCTTACTGCCGATGAACACCTCGCCACGCGCGTATGCGTCCTGGAGGAGTCCATGTCATATAATGTGATATAATATAATATAATATAATATAATATAATATAATATAATATAATATAATATAATATAATATAATATAATAATTAAATATAATATACAGTAATATAATATAATATACAGTAATATAATATAATTAATGAAGCATATTTAAAGAAAAAAATATTTACAAATTTACAAAATTATATTTTATTTTATTATATAGGTATATGTTAAATGTAGAAAAACATAGTACTACTAATATATTATATTAGAATTAATAAAGCAAGTTCTAAAAACTATTTCTTATTTTAAGATATACATTTTTTATTAAAAAAAAAGTTTTATTACAGTAAATTATGTTTTATTTAATTACATAAACATATTAAATGTAGTACTACAAATATAAATATATTATATAATTAATAAATTATATTATAATAAAAAAATATAGATATTTTATTTTAAAATATGCAGTTTTAAAAAACATTTTTGTTTTTTTATTATATCATATTTTATTATAGGCCTATAAGTATATGTTAAATGTAGTACTACACACTACTACTAATATAAATATAATATAATATAACATAATATAATATAATATGATAAAAATGTTTAAATGGTATTGTATGTTTTTAATTTATATTATATCATTATATATGTTAAATGCAATATTAACAGTTCTACTAAAATAATATAATATAATATAATTAATAAAGCATATTATGACAAAAAAATATTTACAAATGCACATTTTTTAAATAAAAACGTTTTTTAAATTAAATTAAAATTATATGTTAACGTAGTTAAACGTACTGCATTTAACATAATAATATAATATAATAAAAAATGTATTATATTAATACTATAAATATAACACAATATAATATAATACAATGTAACTTTCATAAAATGTTATTATTACACATTAGCATATGTAATGAGTATGGTGATCGCATGTGAGGGTTATGAGTTACAAAGCA